GGGAGCTGCGGCCGTGACATGTAAAATGTAATTATACGGTGCAGCTACCCCGAAAATAAGACAGCGCTATCAGGGATTTCTGTAATATAAGACCTACCACCGAACTCGGCCTTATTTTCGGGGTAGGTCTTATATTACAGAAATCCCTGAAGATAGCGCTAGGTCTTACTTTCGGGGTAGGTCTTACTTTCGGGGAAACACGGTGCATGAGAGGTGATTTACCTGCCAATGAATTTGTCTTCTTTTCACTCATTCCTAAGATGTACACGGCTCTCCCACATGGCACAGTCCTGCCTGACAATGGCAGAAGGTATTTTTCTTTGCTTCAGTCAAGTAACATTTACAGGTCTTGTCCCATCCCCATCCTGACTGGACATTGAAAGAAGAAGCAGAACACCGATGAGCTCAACTTTCTGTAGCTCCATCCTCTTGTAGCTCTTGTGTTGCTTCTTTCTCTCCCAGTCTGAACTCTACTATACAGGGACCACAAGAGGTTGATATTAAGTCAAATTTAGCTACTTACACTGCTTGCAAGTTGAGGGAAAAATGCATCGCCAGACAAAGACTATTGTGCTCTCTAGTGATTGTTTGAACTGTTCTTATTATAAGAACTTGGAAGATTGTTCTAGCTCTGTAGTCATAAGTCCATAGATTGCTGTTGGTGGTGTCTGAATAAAACATGGCCCATGTATAAAACTCATGTAGAATTTAATTATAAGACAATATCTGCGCTCTACTAAATATATGGCAAGGTTATCTACCTTTTAACAGTAAAAAGACACACTTACATTGGTTTCCTGTTACTAACATTATTATTGTTGTTACTTATCTTCACTGTAGTCTCACAATACATTTCCCTGTGAGCTGAAATGGAAATTATAGGACCTGTGTGCCTGCAAAGACATATGCAAGTTACATCATCCAGATATTTTTTCTAGGTAAGTTGTCATGTTCCTTTATGCAGCGCTTTACATGGTGCACATTCACATCAGACCCTGCCCTCAAGGAGCTTACAATCTAAGTTCCCTATCTCACATACATACACATACGAGGGGAGGCCAATAAGTTCTTACCCTCACCAAGATCCAGATATGCTAGGGATTTGAAATTTAGTCCACTGACTCTTCCTTCTCTACATATCCACCTCCTATGGTTACACACTTTTCACATCTGTGGAACAGACCTTTAATACCATCTGCGTAGAAATATGCTGGTTTGGAGGAAAACCAGCTATCAACTTCAGTAATGACTGCCTCATCATTGTGGAAACGTCTTCCCCGTAAATGTTTCTTCAGATTTGGAAACAGGAAGAAGTCCGAAGGTGCCAGGTCAGTTGAGTAAGGTGGATGGGGCAGAGATTCATAGCCACAATCGCTGACATCTCTTCATGGATTATTTGGGCAGATTTCCCTTGAAGATGGGGGAACCTAATCACGGCTCGGTACTCAACTTTGTCCGGCATGACACCTACTCCATTTCTCTTGGCTCTAACTATAATTCACCATGACCTACAAAAACAAAATTTGGCATGCATATTACTAAGATATCCTATAAACCTGCAAAATTTCAGATCCCTAGTACATCTAGATCATGGTGAGGGTAAGAACTTATTGGCCTCTCCTCATACTTGGTCCAGTTTAGAAAGGAGCCAATTAACCTTCCAACATGTCTTTGGAGAGTGGGAAGAAACTGGAGTACCCGGAGGAAACCCACACAAGCACATGGAGAACATGCAAACTCCTTGCAGATAGTGACCTGGCTGAGGATTCAAACCAGGGACCCCCAGTACTGCAAGGCAGAAGGGCTAACCACTACACCACTGTGATTAAAAGCTAATTTGTGATATTGGACAGCTGCTACATTTACCTGGTGCAAATTTATCCTTTAAGCAGGGTGAATGTTATTGGCAATTGCTGACAAATGTGTCACAGATGAATATCCCTAAAGGATTCACAGAGCGAATTTCTACGTTTTACTTTATAAATAGACCTCTAAATGTTGATATTTTGTTTGACCTTTTTAGTTAATGGATAAAGCTTTCAGTGTGCATGTACCACATTTAACTATCGGCTGAACTGGGAAAACTTTATGGGTGGGTCCCTGCAGGACCCAAGACATCGTATATGTAAAAATATACAACAGTTAGGGCTTGTTCACAAGCTATCCAGTAACATAGTAACATAGTATTTGAGGTTGAATAAAGACACCTGTCTATCGGGTCCAACCTATTGTGTGTATGTGTATGGTCCTACTGATGTGTGTGTATGTATGGGTTCCTGTGTGTTCTCATTTTTAAGGGTACTTGTACCCCTGTATATTACAGTCTCTGAGGAAATCATCCAATCGCCTCTTGAATGATCCCACACTCTCAGCCAAAATCCTGACCGATCTAACTGAGAAGAAGCCCCTGCGCCCCTTGTGCTGAAATTTTTTCTCCACCAATTTTAGGTGGTGGCCTCTCGTCCTTGTCATCGAATTAATTGTAAAAAGTTTACTGCTAATGTCGCCATCCCCGGTGAATATTTTGTACATGAAGATCATGCCCCCCCTTAATCTCCTTAATTCCAATGAGAACATGTTTAAATTTAGTAGCCTGTTCTCATAGCTCAGGTCCTCCATCCCCATTATGAGTTTGGTTGCCCTCCTCTGGACTCTTTCCATTTCAAGGACAACCTTTCTGTTCACTGGTGCCCAAAACTGGACCACATACTCCAGATGAGGCCGAACCAGTCTTCAGTACATTCCAACATGGTTAGTGGCCGGAACGCACGGGATCGCATTAAAGTCTCCCTGCGTTCTAGGGAGGGGGCATGGTGGTGCCATTAATGTCAATGGCACCGCAGACACGCCTCCCGCCCGCAGTGCACTCAGAATGCGTGGCACAGAAATGCCTGCGGTGAGGTGAGGTGCAATCACCAAAGATAGTGCATGCAAACCATAGAACTAAAAATCCTATAGACCATCTTGATCCTGGCCCAGTAGAGACTTATATTCAGAAGAGAAGGTAAATTTGTGCCAGTAAACTCACGTCTTCTGAAAGGCCTCCTCCCGGTGGAGAGTCGGGAGTGGTGGAGAGCCGAAGTCAATTCCTCCATGGTACACAACTCTTGGACCTTTCTACACCAAAGAGAGAGGGAGGGAGGGAGGATCAGTTTCCAGCAAAGCGGAATACAAAAACTGTTGCGTAAAATTTTATTTTTACATTTTTTTTTCCTACACGGTTTTTCAGATCCCCCTAATATTTATGTCTGGTATTAGGCAGAGGGAGTTTGTTACTATAACAAAGACAGGAATTTTCACCAACATACCTTTTACTGTATGCTTTAGGAACTTCCGGGGCTACTTTTTCCATAAGACTGAAAGAGAACATGACAAGCAGTTTATAGCCTTTTTCTGGCAAAGTAATCCTAAATGCTAAGGAGGTCTCTATTATGCAGCACCTGTGAACATTCTCTAGGTTGTAGGTTGTAGGGCACCAAGGCATGATGCTATCTTGGCGTGCATGTGATGCATAAAAGCAATTTCAGCCTTGAATACCTGGGCTGCACTATAGAATAAAACCTAGATGGTGTTACAAGTATGAGGTTTTGTTGGTTGCATGGCTAGTTGCAGTACAGGAATGCCTGCATGAAAAATGGAAGCCCTTTGCAGGTAGGATGGGTTCTTTGCATCATGCTGTAGAATTGACAGATAACACTAACAAATATGATTCAGTAATCTGCACTAGATATTCATATGATGTTTTTCCCCTCAGCATGCAGAAAGTGTGAGTAACATCCATTCCATTAACCGCTATGGATGCTGGTACACTCCAACAGCATGAGTCGCCTCTTACAGTCAACGAACAGGTATTTCTTATCATTGTCATTTTAGCTTCAATTATATCTAAAGGCAAAACCTTTTTCTTCCAGATGGGACACCTGTTCCGGTGATATACAAGATAGCACACAATTAAGACTCTCTAAATATGGCAATACACTAGTAGATTTCCATACAAACGTTCATATGAAAAATCTCTGCAGTCGAAAACAATCACAGCTTTGACCCCATTAACTATTAGAAAATCAAACGAACGTTCCAAAAACGATTTTTTTCAAACAAAGTTCTCCTGAAGCATGACCAGCTTTAGCTTCAGATCTCCCCATTACTGCAACGGAGGCTCCATCTATAAACATGATGAAAAAAGCCAATCTACCACATCCATTGCTATGCTGGTCTTATGATATACTTGTTCTAATTTAGGGACATTAACCCTTTCACTAAAAATCACTTCAGAATGCAGTTCTTCATGCTGATATGAAATCATCTTACATTCATTAAAAAGCGTATTTTGCTTTTACTTAAAATTACGTTTTTTCCACTTCCTGGTCCTCTTAGTGATGCCATGTACCCACATGTCGCATCCTGGGAAGGTTACATCAGCAGAGCATTGCTGGTAAATGTCACGAGATCTCAGGGAAAGGCATTTTCCTTCCCTTGAGATGATGTGCATATCACATGTCCTAGTCACATGTGCCAGAGTTCCAGGAAGTAAAGGAAGATCTAGTAGCCTCCCCTTAGTTAAAATGGCCACTGTGAGAAGAATGGAGAAATTAGGTATACAAAGCCGGCACTTATCTAGAAGTATCTGGAGATTGCCACTAGTAAACATATCTAAAGGTGTGTTTGTTGCCATTTCAAAGAACTAATGTAGCCCGGCATTTACTAATACTTCATTGCATTTTTTTTACATGAAAATGGTCAGTGACTAATTGTGCAGGGCTCTACTGGAAGAAGGAGAAGCAGCATAAACATCCAATCAGTCTTTGTAAACATGCTGATAAGAGAAGAGCGTACAGTGACAGTTGAGCTCATCAGTGTGTTGCTTCTACATTCACTGTCCTGTCACAGGCCAGGGGAGGGATAAGACCCATAGTTGTTACCTAACTACAGTAAAAAAAAAAAACATCAGATCGATTGCACTGCCAGACAACATTGTAGTGTGTGGCATAGCTATGCAAATTAAGGACTGCATGGACCAAAGTACAAATTCTTTGGCAGGTAAAACAGTTCCCATATTTGTTTTTCATGTATGAAGCTGTTTTCCTGGAGTTTAGATGTGAAAATGATAAGGAGAATGTTTTACATTATTGTTTATTAATATATTATTCATCTAAACCTCTCTACAGGTGATTGTCATGTCTGGGCATGAGACTATTCGGGTGCTTGAAGTAGGCGTGGATGCTCCAGCACAATCTGAGGAGAATGGAAAGCCTTTGGACCCTCCAGTTCCTGAACCTACATCTACTAATGATCCACCAAGGGAGACAGTTTTATGTCATACAGATAATACAAGCGCTGAGGCTACAGGTAACATGTTTTTGCATTTGAAAGAACTCACATTTTCTTTTTCATCCCCTTTGATTTGAAAAAAACAACAACTTTATTTTCATGTGTATAAATGTGTATTCTTCTTCACCTTTCCTTAACATGGGTGGGAAAAAAGAAGCTAGCACAGTACAATTTGCAAAGTGTGTGATTCACAAAAACACTGTGCACTGTATGCAGATGCAAGAGACTGCACAATTTCAGTTCCTTCATGGTTTGTTCCCACTGAATGAATTGTCATGCATTTTCTAGCTGAGCAAAATGCACTCTTGTTTTTTTATTGAAGCTGGTCAAACAAATGCTTTGAGGTATATTAGAAAGTCTTTTATGCTGCATGTTGTGATGCAATGCCCTGGATTGTGCCATTCAAGTGAATCCAAATGAAGTCTTTAAAGAACACAACAAATCTTAAATGCAACTTAAAACATGCAATACGAGTAACAGACGTATATAAGACAATAAGAATGTCATACGAGTACCAGAAGTATATGAGAGTGTAAAAATACCATACAAGTACCAGAAGTATATGGGAGTGTAAGAATGTCATACAAGTACCAGAAGTATACGAGAGTGTAAGAATGCTATACGAGTACCAGAAGTATATAAGAGCATAAGAATGCCAAACCAGTACCAGAAGTATATAAGAGTATAAGAATGCCATACGAGTACCAGAAGTATATGAGAGTATAAGAATGCAATACGAATACCAGAAGTATATGAGGGTATAAGAATGCCATACGAGTACCAGAAGTATATAAGAGTATAAGAATGCCATACCAGTACCAGAAGTATATAAGTGTATAAGAATGCAATACGAATACCAGAAGTATATGAGAGTATAAGAATACCATACGAGTACCAGAAGTATATGAGAGTATAAGAATACCATAAGTATATCAGAGTATAAGAATACCAGAAGTATATAAGAGTATAAGAATACCAGAAGTATATCAGAGTATAAGAATACCAGAAGTATATAAGAGTATAAGAATACCAGAAGTATATCAGAGTATAAGAATACCATACAAGTACCAGAAGTATATGAGAGTATAAGAATACCATACGAGTACCAGAAGTAAGTATATAAGAGTATAAGAATACCAGAAGTATATCAGAGTATAAGAATACCAGAAGTATATAAGAGTATAAGAATACCAGAAGTATATCAGAGTATAAGAATACCATACAAGTACCAGAAGTATATGAGAGTATAAGAATACCATAAGAGTTCTTACCCTTGTAATGTCTTACCACATTGACTGAATGTTTTGTGTTTTCTTTGCCTCCATGTTTGACTCGTTTAGTGAAGTCTTCAGCCGGACTAGTTTCACCTTCTTTCCCAGCTTTCTTCACTGCTGCCTCAAGCCAACCACAGCCTACTTTTGCATCTTTTGCTTTACAGGCTGCACCACAGGTGAGGCTTTGCTCCGGTGCTCAGGGGAAGAAGAGGTCATAATGAGCATTTTCTTTTTAACACAGATTTTATTTAGAGGCTTTTTTATCATGAACACTCTGCGTTCTCAATCTCTTTTTCTATTTTAAAAGGAAAATATCAGGGGTCTTATCAGTGGTCTGTTTAGACCCCTAATATTTCCCTGTAGCCCCTAAAAGTAAAGTAAAAAATACAAATATTTAATAAAACGTGCCCGCCGCTAGGCAGTGGGCACGAGCGGGAAATCGGCTTTGAATGTAAACAGCCAGCGATGGTTGTTTACATACAAGCGTCCGGGCTTCTGTAGAGACGCCCGATCGCTTGTAATTAAAGTCCCCCGCCCCCACATGCACACGCAAACATGCGTTGAGTCCGCCTACGTGCGAAAACGACGATTACATTCATTGTGCCGCACATGTTACATATCACAGCGAACGTCGGAGTGAGAGCAATAATTTTAGGGTCATTAATCACCGATAACACTAAACTAATGAGCGGTAAAAGCTTTTAAAGCGTCGGCTGTGGTCAATTTTGGGTATGGTAGTTTTTTGCGATGTAGCGGCTGCACGCAATTTTAAAGCTTGGCATGTTTGGTGTCTATTTACCCGACGTGACCACGTCTTTTATATTTTACCAAAAAATTGGGTAATAATAAATGTTTTTTAACATAACGTAGTTGGATAAAACCCATAGTGGTGATTAAATACCACCAAAAGAAAGTTCTATCTGTCCCCAAAAAATGGTATAAAATGAATTTCAGTACAGCGTTGTATGACTGAATAAATGTCAAAGTACCGCAGCGCTGAACACTGAAAAATGGCCTGGACAGGAAGGGGGTGTAAACACCCCGGTCAGCAAGTGGTTAACAGTGGTTCAAACTTACCTGTGTCTTCCCCGCGCGCTCCCGTTCGAAAATGTGAAAATTTTCGGGCGGCCGCAAAGGAACTTGGGGCACGCGCATGCGCAGTTCACATTTTCGCATTCATTTTCGCTGTCCAATGAGGCATTGCAAGACAGTTACATGCATGACTCCCAGAGGCATGTTGGGATTTTTAAAAAAATCATGCACTGCGATGCGTTCTAAAAACGCACTGCAGCGCATGTGCATGACGTACACCTCAATATTTGTATGCTATGTGGGGGGAGTGAGGGGTTGTGCTTTATTTTATTTTATTTTTTTGTACACATTTTTTTTTTTTAAACATTTTCTATTTATTTTTTAATAATTTTTTATTTTTATTTTTTTACTGTTGGGGGGGCTGCGGCGAAATATCTAGACCCCTGACATTTCCCTTTTGAAATAGAAAAAGAAATTGAGGAACAGCTGGAGGGCGGAAGTGCCCACCTCTGCTTTACAGGGTTCAGTGTCTTATGACATATGACAGTGCCATTGTCTAAGTGCAAGCAGGTTTACTTTTCAAAAACCTGCCCTACCCTTCCTTACTCCTTATCAAAGTCGTGTATGCCTGCAGTTGCAGACCCAAGATCCATGTTTAAGCTGCAGTGAATGTTGTGGCCTGCCCAGAGCTGCATCAAAACTTACATTCACTGTTCTGACTTTCTCCCTTCTGTCCAGTGAATGTGTACTATGAATTGAGAATAATAGTTTGCCTTCAAAGTGTCTCTGCAGACCACTTATTTTCCTCTGTTGGAGACAGGGTCACAGTGGCACATGTATGGGACAACAGGATAGAACGCCTTGACATTCAGCACAGGGCAAGCATGAATCTGGGGTCTGTAACAGCAGATATATGTGTGATAAGGAAGGGGAGCGGGTGAGCTAAGGTAGGTTTATTCCAAATAAATGTATTCCATAAATAGTCTTTGGCCTTATTGCCCAGCTGGAAGCTAGGTGTGGGCTCAGTTGACACCATCACATATTTTATAAACAAAGTACAGGATGCATAAATGCCAAATGAAATGCAAATGAACTTACAGTGATCATTGCATCATGATTGGTTCATATGAATAGAGAGCACCAACAAAATGATAAGACTTTATAGGTTATTTTTTAATTAAGCGAGCCAGTAAGAACATATCTTTGTTATACTGTTAATTTTGGTGAACAAATAACTGTAATGTTCAATGAAGTGTTCATCTTACACTGAATAAAAAAGATACAGTGTTTGTTATGTAAATGTAGCGATATAACATACAGTTCTCTCTTGCAGGTCTTGACTCAGGAAAATCTAGCTACACTTTTCACAGGAGTCATGGCTCAAACAGGAGCAGTTACTCAACCCGTTCTTATCCCCATCAGTATGCCTGGACAAGTAGCCGGCCAACAGGGTCTGGCTGTATGGAATTTTCCCACAGCTACACTAGCTACTCTTCCTGGTTTAGCAGCTGCTCCCCCTGCTGGAGGAGTCTTCAAATTGCCTTTTACTAACCTACAAGGTAAGACCATTTGCTGACTTTATCACTAAGAAAGTTGTTCACAATTCCTGTTAACCCCTTCATGACTGAGCTTGTTTTTCGTTTCTGTTCGTTAATGACTGACGAACTTTGCAAATTTTATGTTGTGTGATTCTTCCATGTCAGTAATATACTTTCTTACTAAGTGCACCCTCACGTATTATATATTGTTTTTTAGAGGACCGATAGGGCTATATATTTATATCACATATGTGTGCCTAACGTCTCACTTAGCATGAATGAAATATTAAAAAATGAGGAAAAAAACGTAAAGAAAACACTTTTTCCCCAGTTGTGATTATTAGTATTTTTTTGAAAAATAGCACAGCTAAAAAATGCATTAAATAAATTCATTTATTTGGAAAAACCTCACATCCCTAGGATTTTAGATATTTTTCTGTACTTCGCAGCCTAAAAACTAAGAGGGCTATTCACAAAGCTGCTGAAGGCAGCCGAGTGAATAACCCAGCCGAAGTGAAGTGAGCCGAACTACGTTTGGCTATTCACTTCGGCTCAGTAAAGGTGCCCATACACTTTACAACCCTCGCAAGACAAAAGTCTTAAAGGGTTGTAAAGTACTTAAAAAACATACGATCTGTCCATCTTGGACAGGCAGATCGTACCTGCGATCACCGCAAGCCCGCTCCCCCCCGCATGCGCACACCGGCCCGTTCGGCAGTGATCTCTCGATCATGTTAAAAACCAGCCGAAAATCGTACGATTCTCGGCTGGTTTTCCAACATGCTCGATATACAAAAGACTGCGACCGTACATTAGAAACGGTCGCACGCCTTCCATACACTGCACAATTCTCGTACGATCGCGGGATTTCCCACGATTCTCGTACGAGAATCATGCAGTGTATGGGCACCTGAAGGCTGATTTCAGCAGAAGGTCATAATCTCAGCCAATCCAACATCTGGATCGGCTGAGCCGAAGCTCCGGCAGCTCACTCGCTGCCTTTCGCCCCCTTTCACATACCTCCGTGGTACAGAGCAGAATAGCAAATAGTGAAAAAAGTTGAAAATAAATAAATAGAGAGCTCAGTCGAGCCAAAGCATATCCCGCTCGGCCTCCTTCGGGTGCTGTACAGGCTATTGTGAATAGCCCGTGCAGCGGCCCTTCGGTTCGACTGAACCGAAGGGTTCCGGCGGCCAGAGGAGCCGAAAGATCAGCCGAAGCTACAGCTGAATCCTTCGGCTCCTTTGTGAATAGACCCCTAAAAGCTAACATTTTAATTTTTCTTTTTTCTCTTAAAGCTAATAGTGGTTACCTGGCATACAATGCCATTGTCACCAAGTGTGACTAAGTTTTACACTTAGTGACAGCGACATACTTTGAACATCACTGTCATGAGGGGGTTTAAATAAAAAAATTAACGCCTTAGGGTGAAAAACAAATCTGCAGGTCAGCTTTTAGATTTTCATTGTAAAGTGTTAATTTTTATAATAATGATAGTATAAAAATATTTATAAAAATATAATTTGTATTTGTTACATTTACTTAAAAAAAATTTACACTTTTATTTTATTTTTTTAATTATATCAAGCAGTCATTGTGAATGAATCTCACTATGACTTCTTGATAATTTAATTAGTTCATTTTTGGTTGTTATTTGGCTGTTAGGCTATTAGTGACACTGAGCTTTATATGCTGATCCTGCAGCATTTCAGGATCAGATGTCACTAAAGGCTTCTGATCGCTTTCAGAACGATCAGAAGCCTGCGACATTGTATCAGCAAAAGAAACATGTTGCTAAGGCTCCATTCACACTGGAGCGGCTGTCCGTGCAAATTCGGCTGTACAGATATGCGCGGAGCCGCTCTTAACAGAGAAAACAATGCACTTTAATGTGTATTGTTCAGACTATTAGGCCCTGTTCACACCAAGCGCGGAGCAGGTGCAGAGCAGATCAGTTGCAGACCGGATCAAAACTGCGTCCAATGTATTCCAATGGTATTTTAAACTCTCTTTTTTCCTCTGTTACTATTTTTGTTCCTCTGTTTTTTTCCTCTGTTATAGCAGCTTCAGTTTTGAACACTGCCCTACAGACTCCTGTGCAGGCAGCTCAAGCCATTCAGGCAGTTTACCAGGCACAGCCAGCAGTTCAGGCTCAAGCCGCCCTTCAAGCAGCTGTCCAGCCACAGGCCGCATTGCAGGCCACACCGGCTCTACAGACGCCAACAGCCCTGTTGTCAAATACAGTATCAAAGGCAGAACCACAGACACAGTTCACTGTCCAGCCAGCAAGCTTTACCTTCAACCCAGCCATTGTAAGTTCAGTGCTTTCTTTATACTGCAAAGTACAGATAAATGCCAGCATCATATATGTTTGTGGTAGATTCAAGCCTTGTGTGCTTGCATAGCTCCTTCGAAGTGGAAAGTTGACCCTAGGGGTCTATTAGACACCTAATGTCACCTTAAACAGAACCTGTCATCTCCAATGTGCTATCACATAGGGGGATTGTGGACCCCCGCCATGTGATAGCAATAAAGTTAACAAAAAAAAGAAAAAGGCAAATAAAATCAATGTAAAAATACCCTCCAAAAAATAAAGCCTCCTTCCCCCGCGAAAACACGGATACAAATAGAAACACAAGTCGGGTGCGCCTACGTACAAAAATGACAATTGCGCTATACATGTTAGGTATTTTCGCGTGCGCCAGAGTGAGAGCAATAATTCTCGTGCCATTATTGATGGCTAAAAAGTGTGGGTCGCGCAAGTAAATATGGGGGGGGGCTTGGGTTTAGACGTCAGACCAACGCTGAATTACTTGCAAGAGTCTTCCAGCCACACTGACTCCCATAAAAATGAAAGCTGTAACGTGGATGGGATTTGTCCTGAGCTTAAAACAAAGATGTTTGTGTTTGAGGTGTACCAGTACACATGGATTGTTTGCAATGTGAAGCTGGGGCTAAGCATTGTTCCAAGACTGCCAATGCAGGTCTGCAGCAGTGAAGGAGTTTAATTCATTTACCCTGGGGTCCTGGAAAGTATATGGCAGGTTTATCTCCTGGCACCTGATTGCAGGGCACAATGCTAAGCCTTCTCAACAATCTCTGAAGAGCATAATAGTAATTTACCATGTCACAGACAGCAGGAATCAACAAGTAGCTGGGGAAGGAGGAGAGAGACACCGACTGATGCTAGGAGGGGGGTGGACAGCTTCCAGCATGCATTTGCGAATATAAACAGTCTTTCTTTATTTGCATGTCACTGAGTGGCGTTGAATAACACTCAAAAGGTGATTGAAAACTGCTACTGTGTGATACTTTGGAATATTTGCACTGTTGAATTTCCAAAGTCTTTAAATTTTTTTATTTATTTTGCACTGCCTTCCCATATCTATTGATATCATGTATAACTAAGACAGCCACTTGCTTCTCTACCACTAGGGGCTAGTGCAGTGTTATAGCTTGTAGCTGTGGTGTAGCAAATAAAAAGCTTCAAATTACAGTTTAGACTTCCATGTTTGAAGGAAAGACTTTGGAGTAAACCTAAGCTCTTGTCTAGCATTTCCTATTCCCTAGCCTGGCAACCCCATCCTTTTACATAATACTTTCCTGTCAGAAGCTCCAGGCCCTCTCCAGCTTACCAAACAATGCAACATTCATTTTAATGCACGTTTATATGTGCCTTTGCTATTCATTTTGAATGGCACCCCAACACATACTGTACAGTATATACTTGAAGGGGATTATTTATAAGGTAGAGCGAATATTGCTAACCACTCTTTGTTATACTTTGCATTACTACTGTGAAAATGCAGGCCGTAGTACGGAGTCTGCTGTATCCTACTGAGTTCGCCCTGCATAACACAGCAGAGAGAACATTGTAATTGAAGGAGTGCTGGTTATGTGACTTTGAAACCAGGCTCTGCATCACGTTCCACCATCATACCCATCATCCCTTCAGTGGCGACTCTAGGAACAATATATAAGGGGGGCACATAAGATACTACAGTCAAAACTGGGGGGGGGCACTAATAATTTTCACCACTAAATCATACACTGAAAAAAAACTAAAGAAGTATATATAAGTAAGATTACAATATACGAGAGTAATGCGGTATGCAATGATACCTTTTTATTGTAATAACCTGATACTTAAAAGACAAACTTTCAAGAGTTTTCCTTTCTTCCTTAGGTATTGCTCCAGACCTGAGAAACAGGAAAACACTCAAAAGATTTTCTTTATAGTTTAAAGCAATTTCAGCAAACACCAGGGCTGTGTAAATAATCCCCAATGTTATCTAGCAATGCTGAATACCACCAGCTATAGAGGACTACAAATCCCAGCAATAATACATTATACAGCGCAATGCAGAACAATTGTATATACATTTGCTATATACACTGTGCTGCCACTCTACTCCGGGGTGCCGGCCTGATGTTTTGGGCAGAGGGTGTCGAAGGTCTTAGTAAGGGGAGATGTGCGGGTGGCAGAAGCGCTGTGAGCAGGCATTACATGGCTGCCCAGAAGGCTGCCGCAGGGTCCCCAGCAAGCGCTGGACCTAAGACACCCGAGTCAATTTAAAAAATGTAAGTGCCAGCATCTGTTTTTAGTATTGGGGTGGAGGTCAGTTATAACGCAGAGTACAGAGGACAGCGGTGTAACACAGAGTACGGAGGTTAGTAATGTAATGCAGGGTGTGGAGGTCAGTAATGTAACGTAGAGTGCGAGGTCGGCGGTGCGTGTAACGCAGAGTGCGAGGTCGGCGGTGCGTGTAACGCAGAGTGCGAGGTCGGCGGTGCGTGTAACGCAGAGTGCGAGGTCGGAGGTGCGTGTAACGCACCTGGATAAAAAAATATTAATTTTATTGGATAAAAAAATAAAATAAAATACATTTTTGTAGTCCATCACGGGAGCAAGCTTGGAGCGGTGGAAGTAAAAAAGAAAAAAAAGTGTGTACAATATAGTGAAATGAATTTAGAATAGCAGCACCGGTTATAGAGGACTAAAATCCAAGCAATAATACATTATGCAGTGGCGCAATGCAGAATACCTGTCATGGATTGGGACTCACAGGAATAAACTGGAGTCAGGTATGTGGACCATTTCCACTACACTGCCAGGGACACTTAGAGAAAAGGGCCCAAGCAGTGTAGGCTGACAACCCCCAGAGCTGGAGTACAAGCAGGGAACAGAGCAGGTATGTGGATGATGCAGTGGAAGTCAGCTTAAGCTGGAAGTTCAAATACAAGGCAGGGTGCTGCAATGCTGATTAGGTGGCATGGTATGCTGAGTAGGTGGCAGGGGTTCCCCAGGATGTGGAGCCAGACGGTATTCCCAGAGCTCCTGATGGTGGAGATGGGCTTGGCTGCGTGCTGACCCCAGGTCACAATCCCTAGGTCCACCCAACTCACCTAACAGGTACAGGGTACAAATCAAAGGTTAGGGGCAGGCTAAAGACTTCCAGGGACAAAGTACAGGGCAGCCAGTAGACAGGGATTTCCAAGGACAAAAGCGGAGCACAGGGCAGCCAGTAGGCAGGGATTTCCAAGGACAACTTGCCAGTGGTATTGTGCCAGCAGGTATAGAGGAACAACAAATCCCAGCAATAATACATTAAACAGCCCGTATAATGTATTATTGCCGTGATTTGTTGTTCCTCCATAACTGGTCAGTGGTATTCTGCATTGCGCCGTAAAATCATTATACAACGCAATGCAGAATAACACCAGCTATAGAGGACCACAAATCCCAGCAATAATAAATTATACAGTGCAATGGGGAATGACACCAGCTATAGAGGAATACATCAGATCCCAGCAATAATGCATTATATACAGTGTAATGCAGAATACCAGCAGCAAGTGAGGACTACAAATACCAGCAATAGTACATTATAGTATAATGTACTATTGCTGGCATTTTTTGTATTCCTATATAGCTGCTGGTATTCTGCATTGCGCCGTATAATCATTGTACAGCGCAATGTAGAATAACACCAGCTACAGAGGACTACAAATCCCAGCAATAGTACACTACAGTGTACTATTGCTGCGATTTGTTGTATTCCTCTAAAGCTGCTGGTATTCTGCACTGTGCCGCTGTATAATGTACTATATTGCACACCACACTTTTTTTTACATCCACCGCTCCAAGCTTGCTCCTGTGATGGATTACAATCTCAATACAAACTAGTAGTCCATCACTCGAGCCATTTAAAAAAAAAAAATATACGATTAACCAATTAATCGAACGTAATAATCGGCAAACTAATCGCTAGCTGCAGCCCTAAAGTAACTACTTCCCTGCTTTATAGCACACTGAAACACACAGATGTGTGGTGTGTTGAGGTTCACTGGCAAGCTGTTTAAAATGAATGGCCTGCCTTAATGCAACATGCCTCAATGCATGAAAACGCACGTGCTAACACACCCACAACTGTGAACTGGTCACCCACAACTGTGAACTGGTCTTTAGACCTGACACCAGGTCACATGCTTGTTTAATTTAGCAACTCACCAGTTAGTTTAGGAATGACATCTCCAGGGACAGTATCTTTAAAAGTTAGTATATCTTGACTTGTATCAGCTCAGCAGCTGGAGGATAATGGGTTAGGTTGATGCACAAAGCTCAGAAATAGTAGTAATTCTATGGGGACTAATCAGTTGTTTACTTCACATTCCAAAATTTGTATTTGTTCATTCACCTTCTGTTACCTGTATAATTATTCATATTGCCTTTTAATTATAAATAGATTTTGTAATTCAGTAAAAACTGTAATATTTACACAAATAAATACTAATCAATTGCAACTTGTGTTACATATGACAAATGGAAATAATCAATAAATTGTGATTGTGTTTTTCAGATTAGCGCTGCCACTTTAGGAGGTCAACCGCAGTTGCTGAGCTCACTTGCTGCATCACCTTTTATTGCCAATGCTATTCCTGGAGTACAGGGCATCACAAGTCAGATAATAACCAATGCACAGGGTCAGGTAATCCAAGTTTAGAGTTATTAGTTTGTCATTTTACATTTAAGCATTCCATGTGTACTTTAGCAATGTTGTTTATAATACTAAGATTCATATGTGCAATATAACTGACAATTGTAAAGTTTTTCTTGTATTTTCTGCTATAAAAGTAATGTTAGGAGCAAGTTTGGGAACACTTGTATATTAATACTACATATTTCGTTTGGTATATACCTTTTAGCACAGTGAAGTTTATTTATAAAAACGATATGTAGAGTAAAAGCTCCAGGCAGGAATAAAGATACATATTAATGCATATAGGCATTCATTTATAAATCATTAAATGTATTTTCGCTTCCGTTCATTACAGGATACAGCTGAGATCGGGAATCTTTAAACATTGGGTTTACAGCACTGCCTTCAGGAGTAGGACACTAGGCACAGATAAATAAAGGATAGCCTAGGGGTGGCCACTGATGGTAGCCAAAATCTCCATCTGCTAGTGGTAGCTCAGTTTTTTGCTTCTGTCAAGTAGTAAAGACCTAAGCCCTCTCTTCTTCTCACTTCATGTCTTTATTCAGGGCCAAAAATTCTACTGGAACCCCCTAGGCCTGTCATAGCTTCCCTTCATTGGGGAGACTTTCTAGCCTCTATGGATCAAAAATGCATACATCTACCGTGTTTCCCCGAAAATAAGACACTGTCTTATATTGTTTTTGGCTCAAAAAAACACACTAGGTCTTATTTTCAGGGTAGGTCTTTTTTTTTAATGTTTAACAATCCAAAGTTAATGCAAATCCAAATTAAATGATCCAAAATGGCGAAGCACGCTTTCACTATCTGTAGCGCCGGCTCCTGTCACAGGCGGAGTGATACCAAATGCACTCCGTCTGTGACAGGAGCCGGCGCTACAGAGGAAACATCGGCTTATGCGGCTCTGCTTCCTGCGCTGCAGCCTCGCTTCCTCTAGCGCCGGCTTCGTTGGCACCGCTGATTCTCTCTAGCGGCTCTTCAAGTTCCCCCTTATGACACCACCGGCCCTGGGAATGATCACAACTAGGTCTTATTTTCGGGGTAGGTCTTATATTTTAGCAATTCCCAAAAATGGTACTAGGTCTTAATTTCGGGGTAGGTCTTATTTTCAGGGAAACAGGGTATGTTTTTTTGTTTTTATTTGGGCCCTAGTATTCTAGTTGTGGCCCTACCATTTGGTCTGTCTTCCACACACCAAGGGATCGCCTAGGTATGGGCCAGTGTGCTAGCCTTGCTGTGTTGCCATTGTGGGATATCTGTATGACTTGTTAAGGGGCCCAACAGCACAGGTTCTGAATAACAAGGTGATGCCAGCTATACAGGTCTTGAAAAAGTTCCGACTTATTGCTTGGAGTGTATGGGGCTAGTCTTAGACACAGCTGAAGCCTGAGTCTTCCTTCCACTAGGGGGAACTTTACATTAAAAACTACCAGATTTGACTTCTATGGTTCTGGAAAAGCGCAACTGTTGGAACCTCTGGTCCTGGTGGTAGCCTCCCTTGTGACAGTTCCGTTGGCTCAGTTCCACTCCAACCTCTTTAACTCAAAATTTATGGGATAGTTTGTTTCAGTCTCAAAACAAACCAATTCTCTTGACGCCGGGGACCAGGTTATCTCTGGCCTAATGGCTCAGGGGTCCAGCTTTGGAGATAGAGACAGTCTTCATCTTGAGTTCTTGTAGAAACGGATACCAGCTGGCCAGGTTGTGATGAGTCCTTGGCACACTGTCAGTACAGGAGACTTGGTCGACGGAGGAATCCTGTCTCCTGATCAACATTCTGGAGCTTTTAACAATTTGGTTGGAGGATGATCTGTTTTCATATTCATTCGGGCCCTGCCTTGTTCCTGTATACAGCTCTCTGTTGAATCTACATTGTGTCAGCTGTAAAACATATCTATAGACGATACTTCTTTGCTCGTACTGACACTGCATAAGGCTTCCTGAGACGGATTGAGACTGCCTTTGAAAACGTCACAAAAGCAAGTACTTTACTGCGAAGTATAGTATCATTACATGAAGTTGCCAGAAACAAATTGAATTATATGACTATGCATTGCTTGGGACTCTAGAGACTCTGAATTCCATACTGTTGCCAATAGTAAAACGCATTAATCCTGTGTGAGCATCCGATTTTACAATCTTTTGCAACCCAACTCGGATCTTAAAGGGGAACTCCTCCACATTATATCTGTAGCTGTGATCCATGCATTAACCTCCCTGGCGGTCTAATTATCTCAGTTTTTTTTTTTCTTTTTCAATTTTTTACTTTTAACTCTCCCGCCGGTTCCACCCCCCCTGCGACGCGGACGCTCCCATGCAACGGAAGACGGATGCCGGCATCGGCCGCAGGACAAGCGGGGCTCGTGGACAAGGTAAGTTACGCACAGTGTAATCCCGAGTGTGGCTCGGGGTTACCGCTTTTGGTACTGAAAATTAACCCTGAGCCACACTCGGGAATACCGCCAGGGAGGTTAAGAGAGCCTAGAAAAACCCGGTCTGTTACATTAGGTTAGCTTGAAGCCAATGCTGCTGTTAGTGGTCTGGCCCTCTCCGGGCTCCTAGGCCTCGTAGCTGGTTACCATGTTGAAAGTGGACCTTGCATGTTGTCAGAGCTCTCATATGTTGGAGGTTCCGTATTCCTTTTGCAGCTCACATGTCTTACAGACAAGCGTTGTATTGTTCCAGCCTTAGGGGAGTTGTTTCGTTTTCCCAACCCCTTAATAGACACTGCTTTGGGATGTCCCAATGGTTAGAGTTTCAAGACCTCAGCTGTGTCCCTTGATGAATGGAAGAGAAAACAGGATTTTTATACCCACCGTAAAAGCCTTTTCTCTATGTTCTCTGAAGAACACAACACCCACACCTCTGGTGGTCATGCCTGTGAACAGTTTCTATATACTGTACTGCTTGTGACTAACTGAGATGATGATGCCGCCATCGACAGGGGACGCACCTAGGCTGAGCTTTGTTTTTTTATGCCTATTGTACTATTCCTAAAGGTTCTTTAAATGCAATAGTTAAAAATTCAGCTAGAGCTGCAACAGTTAACCGATTAAGTCGATTAAAATCAACGATCGAAAACGTTGTCAACGTTTTCGGTCGTCGATTCGTCAGCTATTGATTGATTAGCCTGTTCGGGGGTCCACACACGGCCTGAGCCGCACGTCACACGCTGCGCCCACCGCACAGGACTCAGAAGTCACTCCCACCGCACAGGACGCAAAAGCCACGCCCACCGCACATGCCGCTGAAGCCGTGCACGCCGTTGCTCTTCTTCTTGCTGTGAACTCCCTCACTCGCTGCTGGCCCGCCTACAATCGAGGGCCCATGATCTGAAAGTAAGTCAGGACCCCTTGTAGACTAGAAATTTAGCTGCCTAACTGTAGTGATCTTTTCAATAATAAGAGGTTTCCTTGAGATATTCTGACAATATTGAAAAGTGCTCACTATTAAAATAAGCTGATCCTTGCCTGCCCTCAATACAAACTAGTGCAACTTGAATGATGTTTCTGCATTGTATAATACAGCGGCACAATGCAGAATAGCACCGACCAGAATATATATCTAGTCGGTGCTATTCTGCATTGCGCCGCTGTATTATACAATGCAGAACACCACGCACAATACAATACAATGCAGAATACCAATGTATAATACAGCAGCACACTGCAGAACACCACCAGCTATAGATGAACAACAAATCCCAGCAATAATACATTAAGCAGCCTGTATAATGTATTATTGCTGGGATTTGTAGTTCCTCTATAACTGGCCAGTGGTATTGTGCATTGTGCTGTATAATCATTATACAGCGCAATGGAGAATACCACCAGCTATAGAGGACTACAAATCCCAGCAATAATACATTATATAAAACGCAATGCAGAATACCAGCAGTTACAGAGGACTACAAATCCCAGCAATAGTACATTATTGTATAAAGGACTATTGTTGGCATTTGTTGTATTCCTATATAGCTGGTGTTATTCTGCATTGCGCCGTATAATCATTATACAGCACACTGCAGAATACCACCAGCTATAGAGGACTACAAATCGCAGCAATAATAAATTATACAGCGCAATGCAGAATAACGCCAGCTACAGAGGACTACAAATCGCAGCAATAGTACACTATAGTGTACTATTGCTGTGATTTGTTGTATTCCTCTGTAACTGCTGGTATTCTGCATTGCGCCGCTGTATAATGTACTATTGCTGCGATTTGTTGTATTCCTCTAAAGCTGCTGGTATTCTGCATTGCGCCGCTGTATAATGTACTATATTGCACACCACACTTTTTTTTACTTCCACCGCTCCAAGCTTGTTCCCGTGAGGGACTACAATCTCAATACAAACTGGTAGTCCATCACTGGAACCTTTTTTTTCTTAACCGATTAATCGAACTTAATAATCGGCCAACGAATCGATTTTGAAAATAATCGCTAGCTGCAGCCCTAGTTTCAGCTGTGTCCTTTTTTGAACGCAGAGAATAAAGGAACTTTTGCAGTTTTTAATGCAAGCTGTGTAAGTACTTCGATTCGACTTGATTTTAACAAACTTTCTTACAGCAGCACTCCGTGAGCCAGGGGGATAGGCAGGACTGGGAGCCAGTGAGGTGTGCTGCACGGAAATGTGCTGACAGGAAACAAGCTAGTAACACTAGTAGCAGAACAGAGCATTACCTCATCAGTCTGCTTCTGCTATTTCACTGTCCATTCAGGAGAGAGGACACCACTGTTTCTCATCTTTAGTCTATAACCGTAACAGAGAAAGTGGTATCATCCACCAAGCTGTGCTGTGCAGAAGGGGCAATACAAATCCTTTGGCAGGGAGGGGGGATTATGGTGTGGGGTTGTTTCTCAGGGGTTGGGCTTGGCCCCTTGTTCCAGTGAAGGGAACTCAAGGCATCAGCATACCAAGACATTTAGGACAATTTCATGCTCCCAACTTTGTAGGAACAGTTTGGGGATGGCCCCTTCCTGTTCCAAC